TTTAACTTTGTTAAATTTTATAGTATTTATTTTAAAGCATACAGAAATTTCTCTAAGTTTAATTACATGCATATTTTTTTCTGTTTTCGAAGTGTAACTCACCTAATCAACATTTTCTAAATATTTATCTCTCTTTCTCCATGTTTTCTATTTCCATAAATAAATGTACTGTTACACATGTATGTAACTTTGTCATTCATCTCTGTATTTCTTTATTTTGCTCTGTCTTGTGTCTGTCTCTAACAGGCTCATCTCATCTCTGTACCTCCCTCATCTCCTACTCTTTGGGTACTCTAAATGCGTTGAAGGTTCTGAGGTAGTGTAAACCAGCTTGGACTCTAGGAAAATAGCACTGTACTTCCATGTCTTCATCCCAGTTTCCTTCTACTACATATGATTTACATTGGATTAAGCGGTAGCAAATAATGATATACTTAGGTAATAAACTATTCTATTGATTTGAATTATGCTAAATAAAAAATTTTAAATTTATATTTTACAATACTTATGCATACAGTTTGCTGATGGGATAGAACTATATGTAAAAGCTCAAATATGATTCAAAGAAAATCAAACGATAATATAAATGATACATAATATACACATTAATTAATAATATATTAAATACATTAAATTTTTAAAACTAAACTAAAATAAAAAAACTGAGACTCAATGGGCCTGGAATTAGCGTGTATGGTAAATAGGAGGATGATGTTAGATTTCTCAAATATTTACATTTAAATTTGTGACAGACAGCAGTTAGAATTAATGATATCAACTTTCATGAGGTTTTCAATAATTTACACTAAATAAAATAAGATTATTGAATTAAAAGGCATTTCTTTATGGTAGTTTCATGTCTTAAAATTATTTAGATATTATAAAACAAAGACAAACGAACTTCAAAATGACTGTCAATTATATGCTATTTTAACAGGGGCAGCGATCAGTGCACAAAGTGAAGAGCAGTGGAGAGAAAGTGGCAAAAATCTTTTTGTTTGCAAGCTCTGTATCTTAGTGATTACAAAAGTTGTCACAAATAGCACTCACAAAGTTTCCACATATACAAGAGTACTAATTTCTAAGTTTGTACTAGTTTTTCTTTGGAAAGAAAATATCCTTACAAATTCTTTGCTATGCTATTAGAAAACAGTTACCATGACTATAATTGTCATTCTGTGAAATACTATTCCCATAGACATCAGCAGTTGATTAAGTATGCCCTTTCAATTCCCAAATGTGTATATTCATTTTATGTAATAGCCTTTGAGTTCATGAAATTCATTTTGGACTCTAAGACAATGAACATCTTCTAAATGTTGGTAATAGTTTAATGAAGTAAAATTCTAGGCAAATATTATAATTGACAATACGATTAGGAATAACATTTTTCTATATGAGGTTTCTAGTAATCCTGTGGACTATAACCATATGTGAATTACAGTTTTGAATATTTTTCGGTATATGGTAAAAAAAACTGAGCTTCATTTAAGGGCTTGTATTTTTCCTAAATTACTTAAACCATTTTTTTAGTTTAATTCTTTAATGATACCTGCACTGTTTTCAGTACCCTGCTAAGTTGTCAAAACTGCTTAATGTAGCTGGGTGTGGTGCATACCTTTAGTCCCAGCACACAGAGGCTGAGACAGGCAGATTTCTGTGAGACTGAGGCCAGCCTGGTTTACATAGTGAGTTCCAAGTCAACTATAGCAACAGGGAGACCCTGTCTCAAAAACAAAATAAAACAAGTAAAAACAAAACACAAAACAGCACAATTTAAAAACCCACAAAACTGCTTAATATGCATTATTTCACTTTAATAATTTAAAGTATACTAAGTAATCTTTTAGTAGTAACACTAAGAGTTTAAATGCTATTTAAACTTTGAAAGGCTTTTCGTGTGACAAATATATTTAACTATTAGTCTAAAATCGAAAAGACACAGAATACTTGTGGTTTCTATACCCACATCATAGGATTTTGTATGTTTGTGCTTTGCCCCCTGCATTAGTAGTCATTCTCTGGGCAGGTCTATACTCCAGAAATAGCAAGGGTCTTACTGATATCCAGTATGTTTCCTGTTTAATACTCAAAACTAGGTCATTCTCAATATCACTTAAAATATTTAGAGAATATCCTTCTTGATTAGTAAATAATCGCTCTCTGTTTATCAGCTTTATAACACAGTATTTTATTATTTTTTCATCTTAAAACAGGAATAACATAGACAATAAATCTTGAAGTACATTACTTATTACAGTTGTCACATAGTATCAGCACATTTGATGATCACAATTATTTACAAGATGAAATATCAGTGCTAGTGTTTAAATATAGTTCATGATCTGAAGGTAACTTATGAAATATTCTTCCTAAAACATAAAAGTGAAAATAAAAACCAGTCATTTTCAAATTTTAACTTCTAGCATATTTTTATTTGATTAAATCTCTTAAAAATTGATTATGAATTGGAATCACCTAAATTACCTAAACCATTTTTTTAGTTTAATTCTTTAATGATACCTACACTGCTTCTATGATACCTTTCACACTTTCTATGTTGTAATACAGAATTAACTAATTGGCCTTCCATGTAGTTTCATACTATATGAAGTAAATTATTTTAAGAAAGCAGAAATATGCTTATTTATTATTCTATGTTGTTTTGCCACTCAATTCTATAGAACATTCAATAAATTTACATTTAAATATATCTAATGTTCTAACTCATGAAAATATGGAGAAATGTTGTGAAACTGGTGATTGAAGACATCTCTTAGTAGCACAACTGCATTATGTAAAAGATTTTTAAAGATTACAATTATTATTTTGAGAATGGTCCATTGAATGGCTGCTAATGAACAGTCCACGGTCATAGCTGTTCATTGCAGTTAGAGATGGGAGAATCAAAAGGCTTCACAGAGCTTGTCTAATATTCCTCTGAAGGCTGTAAACTTCCTAGAAATATGTATCCTAAAATTAGAACTTGTGAATATGGTTTGAGATGAATTGGCTTTAAAAAGTCTTTTTTTTTTTTTTTAATGGTCTTTTTGAGACAGGGTCTCTCTGTAGCCCCAGCTATCTTGGAACTCACTATGTAGACCAGGGTGGCCTTGAACTCACAGAGATCCGCCTGCCTCTGCCTCCCAAGTGCTGGGATTAAAGGCGTGCACCACCACACCTGGCAAAAAGCCATTTTGTTTTTATCTTCATCAGATATATTATTTTGCTGTTTAGTGAAAGCAGAAAAATATTTAAATTCAAGAATATTAAATCTATTATTTTTAATTTTAATTTTTTTTTGTTTTTTAGAAGAAGCATTTCTATACAGCTTTAACATACCCAATAACAATTTCCAGAGCAAAGACACATCTTTTTCAAAAGTGGCTATAAAATTTTTAGGTTCACAGTTGAATTAATACAGTTATGCCATATTGAACTCAGTGTAAACCCCGTAAGACATAAAATTAAATGAGCTTTTAACCTTTAAAAAAGATCTCCCTTTCATTTTAAATTATACTGTTTCTTACAGAAATACTCATTGTTTTTGCTAATAACACTTAGATGTTGGTGCATGTGTCTCTAATCTGTATGTATCTGATTATTACTAGTCGTGGTTGGTTGCACTCGGATCCTTGGCACCTGTATATGGATATAAAGTCATCAGGTAGATTTCAATGGTAATATTTTTCACCTCTACTACTATATCCATACACAGGTGCCAAAAAATCTATTATTTCTAATTGTAATTCAGAAAATGTCTATTAATAGATGATCACTGATTGAGAGGCTCACAAGTCTAAACAGTAAAATTGTACTAGTGTTTAAAATGAATAATTTTTTACTCATACTTAGTGATTTCCAAGTAACAAAAGAATAACAGCTTTCAGGGAGAATTTGAAGAAACTTTTTCTCATAAATATTATCAAACTTTAGAGAAGTTAATAGTTGCAACAATTAGAATAAAAATAAAGGCAAATTCTGAATAAAAGTATAATTTCAGCACATGGAAAAGTTAGGCACAGAGAGTTTATCTGTCATTTGAGATCATTGAAAGTAAAAATGGGTTTTTGAAGTCAGTGAGGTAAGAACATGCATGTGGTGAAGGCATCAAAGTTGAGTTGTCATTACCCATGTCACAGCAAAAGTAATAGCTAAAGATGGGGCAAGAATGGAAACATATCTGGAATCAAGCAAACTGGGGAAATTATCATTTAACTGCTAACTAGGGACTGATAACAGATGATTTGATTGCAAAGACTCTTCCAGATGATGGAATTTAATATATTTTAGCCATTGTCACATTCCAAGCTCTGCCATCCCGATAGATAACTCATCTTCCATACAGTGGAAGAAGCTGCACAATTTTTCACTAGTGTTCATGGAAAACAAATGCAACTCAAGTTTATTGATCTTTCTCAGATAGGAGATGAATATCAGTGTGCTTACATAATTGAATAGTCACAGCAGGAAACCACATATGTTTCTAATGAGCTCCTACCATAGATATCTTTAAATATTATTGCTAAAGAACTTACTGATTTTGATTTTAGATGTAACAGAGCCTTAAAAAAAAAACACCGAGTACTGATCAGATAGTTATTCTGCATATTTTCATTTAAATTTTTTTTCAGTAAGAGCTCGAGATTTGTGTTTCTTTTTCATATATGATATTCATTTTGATTGATATTTAGAAATTAATGAACTTTATAGATTATCATTAAATTTAATTTTAGGCATCATTTCTTCAGAGAGAATAATCATTTAGAGTTCTAAACTGAGAAGTCATTTTAAAATTCTTGATTGATTTCTCCCATTTCTATCTGTAGTTGATAAGTTTTTGGTTGATGTAGATCTATTTATATTGATCTCTCATGCTTAACATCATATGCTCATTAAAAATCCTACTTAGTTTAGTTAAACTGAAGCTCATATTTCACTCACTAAGTCTAGAACTATGTAACTAATTGTTTATGTTCTGTAATAACAATCTCTTTTAGCAGGTCAGGTTGCTTCTCCTCAGTCTACTCCAGCCTGTGTTGAGACTAAAAATGATGTTAGCAGAGAAAACAGCACTGTTGACTTTAGCAAGGTAAGCTTTTCTCTCCTCCATCTAAGTAAACTGCTAAATGACTACCTATTTTTAAGAGGTGTTGATGCAAGTTTTTGCATGCCTTTTTTCCTGGATTCTTAACGGAAGCTTGAAATTGTTGGAGAAAATGTTAGCATTCAGTTCACAGGGAATGTCTTGAAATTGTTGGAGAAAATGTTAGCATTCAGTTCACAGGGAATGTCTTGAAATTGTTGGAGAAAATGTTAGCATTCAGTTCACAGGGAATGTCTTGAAATTGTTGGAGAAAATGTTAGCATTCAGTTCACAGGGAATGTCTTGAAATTGTAGAAAATGTTAGCATTCAGTTCACAGGGAATGTCTTGCCTATTGGAGGAAACAAATGTCTAAGTTTTATGAAAAATCTTTTGGATCCAAACACTTCATATGGCAATAAAAGGAATAACTAGACTTCTTAGGAAGCTTAATATATTGTTTAAAAATATTTGTTAGCTTTTTCCTCTCAAAATTATTTTCCCTTTAATGGCAGAGAAATAAATGACGTAAAGCTTTAGCATTGTTGTATTTTGAGGAACTCATTGTAAGGAATCCCTAGAAGGTAAAACAGCAGGATTTTGAATAAAAACATATTAAGAACTGATTGTGTTGAGAGATACATTTGGTTAGAGATGGTCTAAATGAAATAATTTGTTTAAATATACACCAAGAAAATAATGAGTTAGTGAAAATAACATGATTTTGGTTAATACATTCCAGACCTCACTTGTGTGCTGTTATAAGCTATGACAAAGTAACAATTGAATAGAACAGAGAAGTTTCAATGTTCATAAAAAATAAGAATGTTAAACAATTCACTTTATCTGAGTGACTGAAATAGTAATAACTTAGAGATAGTATTTTGATAAATCCCAGTGACTCAGTGGGAGGCAATGGGATGGGTGGCAATGTGATGAAGTAACCTGAATTACAGTGCTGAAGAGAGTTGTCAGTTCCTTGAAGCTGTTAGCATCTTTGGGACAATGCTTACATGTGCTGAGTCTAGTTATGTGCATGCTCTCCCTTTGGTGCCTGGTGGGAGCATGATGTGCCAGCTTAAGTCTGTTAATTATGCGTGCAGGGACTGGGAGGCCAACAAAAGGGGCATGCTAGTCCATGTGGGATGAAACAAAGGCATGAAAAAGGACCTCCACACCCGCAAGAGAGAGAGGTGAGGGCATATATTTGGGCTCTATTTCTACAGTAATTCAAAGCTCATTTCACTGTACGGAGGCATATGATTCAAATAGTAAACCAGTTCAAATGTATTCCATCTGCCACTCTAAAAATTCTTTTTAAAGCATTACATCTTCATTCATCTGCAAGTTATAATAAAATTGTCACAAACTGCATGCATTTAATTTCTTCAGTTCTTAATTAAAAACAGTATCTTTAAAGTAATGACATAAAAGTATTAATTATCTAATCATGAACAGTATAACAAGGGCTTAGTCTTGAAAGCAATGATTTTTAAACCATGTAGATCACCTTTTCAAATAAATTACTTTTTAACTTTAAAAAAAAATCCTTAAAGTTTGAATTTTATATTTCCATGCCAATTAGGATTTGTGCATGACCCATCTTTGTAGTCTTCAGAAATACTCATCACCACGAAAGGAAAATAAAGATAGCCAATTGAAGATAGTCTCATCTCTGCACCCCCAACAATTAGAACTGCAGAATGTGACAAATTGAGAAAGAGCATATGATCTTGAATACTATCACTATCTCTAGCATTTCCATGTCACCTCATCATGGAGTTCTCTAAGCTTTAGCCTTTTCATTGCTTACAATAAAAATCATATACGTTTTTGTTATTGTTATGAAGAGTTAGAGACAATAGCCTAGTAGAGTACTGGCCATAAAGTAGCTACTTAATGACTATTGTATTAATGGTGGGAATGGTAATGTTGAAATAAATTCCAGACCAGAATTTAATGTTTTGGTTCCCACTGGATCTTTAGTATCATAAACAAATATTTGAGTTATATTTGTTGAATAAATTCTACAGAATTCAAATTAATTAGTCTTTGGTTTGAGAATTATAAAACAAAATAAAAATGCTTCTAACTTTATAACCTGGTAGAGCAAAGAATTAGGGTTTGGAAAGAACTGTTATGATCCATCACTATGGAGACAATTCTTAGTGACAGATTTTTCAGGTATGCAAGCTAAGGTATTTTTAAACTGCTGATTTCAGCTTGGTGGTAACTTTATTAAAATTTAGCTAATTTCCATGTTATTCTGTCCGGTTAAATATTTTAAGTTTTTATGTGTAGATTTTAAATCAGAAAAACTCAAGATATTAAAAGGCCTTTTTTTCCTGTAACTTGATCCTATGTTTCATCAGTCTTCAATCTACACATTTTTAGCCTCACCACTGAATAGGTTCATCAGGTTCATTCATTTAAATAATGACCTAGACCATAATCTGTTGTGTCAAATTTTTACTCCAAAGAGTAGGAACATCAAAATACTATTTGCATTTTTGCTTTTTATGCACCCAATAGAAGATAGCTTTTTTGTTTCAACTGTGATTCCTTTATTTCAAATGTTCTAAAGAAGGCATCATGTATTTCCTAAATGGAAAGAACCTTCTTTTGCATTTATCTGCAATAGATGACATATATTAGGGGTAGCATACCTTGGGTATCTCATTTTGGAAAAAAGCTGAGAGCAGGAGAGTTTAAATGAATCACCTCCTCAAGGTCACTTTAAAGTGTCAAATATTATTTGTCCATAAAGAATCAATTAAATTTCTTCTGGTTTCACTGATACACTTAAGACGTATGCTTTCTCTTTAAATTTTCATCTCCCTTTCCTTCCACTCTCAGTATGTGGCTTCAACAGGCATTTTCAGTTGCACTGTGATCATTTTTCTCATTTTGCTGTTTCCACCAACAGCTACTGTCTCAACTAGTTAGAATAAGGCATATTTACCATTTGGTATAATGCTGGGGCCTACAGAGACTAGAAATATGAGTGAAAATACAGACCCCAAAGAAAATTCTCTGACTCCTTTAAGGTTCTCTTCAAAGCACTAGAAATTTCTAGGATTTCTGTCCATCAATTTTAAGTGTTTGAATCCACCAGAAGGTTGTCTAAGAAATGTAATTGCAGGGGCTACAGAGATGACTCAGCCATTAAGAGCACTAACTATTCTTGCAAAGGCCCCAGGTTTGGTTCCCAGAAGCCACATGGTAGCTAACAGCCATCCTAAACTCCAGTTCCAGAGGCTCTGATGCCCTCTTCTGGACTGCACAGGTGCTGTATGCATATGGTACACTTACATGCATGCAGCAAAACACTCATACTCATAAAATGGAAATAAGTAAATTTTGTTTAAAAAAGAAACATATTGCAACCTAGACCCTAGAAGCTCTTTTTAGGTAGCGCAATTTTATATAAGATTAAATTGTGACTCCTAATTTTACTGAGAGGTAGGAATGTTGTCAAATGTTTCCTTTTGAATTATGTAGTATTATAAATATGAAAATACATAGCATAATATAATCTGAAAATATATAATGATTAATGTACTTTCATCTTGCCCTAATATGCAGCTAGTCTAATAATAATATAATGTCATCAGTGATATATAATTACTCCCTGTAGTCCCAGTTGTCCTGGAACTCACTATATAGACCAGGCTGATGTTGAACTCATAGAGATCCTCCTGCCTCTGCCTCTCAAGTGCTGGGATTAAAGGAGTATGCTACCATGCCCAGCCACATATGTATGTGTTTGTGTGTGTGTGTGTGTGTATGTGTGTGTAATTTATTGTATATTTAAAATAAAATGATAAATTACTTATCTTGAAATCAGATTCTTTATACACTAATGCCTTTTCCAAATAATAGACATCGATGATATATTATGTTTAATATATCATATAATATATCATATATAATAATCATATATAATTTAAAAATCATGTGTAATGGTCACAGCTTTTGTGATGTTAAACTACTCTAATATACTATGTAATCATTGATTTAAATAAATTTCATCTTAAAACACTTAATTCTATATTTATTGTTTCCCTGAAATACATACTTTAATAGGAAAGACTGAAATTTACTGAGTTATAAATGAATTTCAACTAAGACTTATATAGGTGGAATTTAAATTTCAGGTATGCTTAATATATCTCAATGATAAATTTCTTACTTTTTAAATTAAAAATGTATTACATCAATATGTATATGTGTGTTATGCTTTTGTGCCAGTCTCTCTCTCTCTCTCTCTCTCTCTCTCTCTCTCTCTCTCTCT